CAGAGAGTTCCCTGAGGCCGTTCCTGCTTTTTCTGCGTGATGCGCCAGACTTAGAGGTTGGGGCACTCTGGAAGGGCCTCTGCCTTCCTCCACTAAGCAAACATGCAGTTTTTAGAATAGACTAGACAGTGCTGGAAGCTGGAGGATTTTTTTAAATTTTACTTCAGGAATTCGGCCTCTTCCATCTCTCTCAACAGAAGACCAAAAAAGCAAACCACTCCAGATACAGGTTCCTCACGTGTCAGTGGGCAGGACACACAGGTCCAGGCCTTCCTGACGTTGATCGTCTGTAATGCAACTTAGAGAATATCTGTGAAACAGTAATGCTGCATAAAATACGGAGTAAGTTTGCTTGACACGTCCTAAGAGGAACATTTGCATGGTTTCTTTGCTAATTTAATTGATGAATAAAAATCCTAGATGTACTTCTTCATTTTACCAGTATCAACTTGATATAAGCTTAAGCATATTTGTGCTATTGTATATAATTGTTGTGTACTAAAAAGTTATTTTCCTTGCTTGCTCAAATGTATTTGTAGATAGCTTCAGAAAGTCCTGGGCCCTGGGGTCTCCCTTTAGAGTCACTGAACATTAGTTGGGTATGAGTGTCATGAGCAAAGCTGGAACTCTAGAACATGTGCAAGGCTGCCTTTCCTAGAGATCTTGCCATATTTTTTTTACTTCTTGATTATCTTTAAGCAACAGCTAGTTACTGATACTAAAATAGATGTTAGTATAAATATGCTTACTACAAGGTAATGATTATATGCTATTTTTCATTTAAAGCCACGGGAATGAGCCACCTATTTAAGTGTTTTGCTTGTTTTGCTTTGTTTTTGTTTCCTTGGAAAATGGGTTTTAACTGATTTGGGTGGGGTGGGGTTAACGGTAACAGATGAACAATACAGACCATTTATATAAAACACGAGTCAACTGAATATTTGTTTACTATTAGTGCAACGTATTTTAAGGTAGTAATATTGAACATAAATTTTTTTTCTGGTAAGGAAAATCTTAAACTGGTATTTCATGTGACTGTTTTTTAATAATTATCTTTTCTCAGCTATTTCTGGCATGATGCTATGCAAAGTGATAACACTCAGAAAGCATGTGGTTGTTCCTGCCACACACAGTCTTTATGTTTATTTGAAATGGTCAAGGCCTGTCGGCACTCGTCCTGGGCAGAGCAAGTGAAAGTTGGGCTGTACCTGCGAGGCCCGCAGGGAAGCACAGAGCTCTGTGAGGTGGCTGCGAATGGTCATGACCTCAGGATGAGAGGGGCTAATTTGAAAAAACAGCAAAATTAATAGAATCACAAAATTGTGTAGCTAGATGGGCTCTTAGAAAATAGCTAATCTGATCCTCTAGGATTTTACAGGTGGAGAAAATCAGGCCCGGAGTAGCCGGCAGTTCACTCAAGCTCACACTTGTAGTTAAATAGGTAACACACTTTTGTTGCATGAATGAATCCCTGCAGATTGTCACACATTCTTCCCTTTCCTACAGGACAAGTATTAGCAGAGCAGTACCATGTAACAGAACCAAATGAAACGGCACCTAGCTGTTGTTTATCTTACAGTTCACACACACACACCCTTCGAGCAGTAAGAATGTGTACTTTAAGTGGCGAGCTTCCTGGTAGTAAATATGATACGAGCGAGTCTCTGCAGCCTGTTAAGGAGCAGAACTGAGAGCCACCCTCTGGGACGAAGGGAGCGGAGAGCCAAGGGCGCCCTCCAGGAAGATGGCACAGAGGCCTTCAGAGCCCCCCGGGGCCAGGACTCAGGCCTGGTCCAGACCCGTGGACACTGGGACTGACCAGCAGTAGGAGGGAGAAGCTCATCCTGGTCATAGAGGCAGTGCCTGCAGTGGCTCCGGGGGTCCTGACAATGTGAAGGGGCAGGTTGCTCTCTCGCTCTCAACAGAAGCGGCTTGTGCGTTGGAGATCCACCCTGTTCAGTGTCGGCAGACCCCAGCTGCATAGACCAGCCAAAGGCATGGGTGGAAAGCCAGGGTGTTGTGACCCAGCAGGGACCCAACCGTGCATTGTTAGTGCACACGCCTAAGGTTCATAGGGAGGAACAGGGCTCTCTCTCCATGGGGAATGTTAGGCTTTGGCGATGAGTTTATGAACCCCTGAAAATTCAACAAAAACCCCAGTTGGGTTTTGAGACCAGAGTAAGATTCTAAGCAAATTCTAAAGGGAGATTTAGAACAAGATTGGTGTGCAGCTCTAGTTTCGCTGGTACTAGTTTGGGCAGCAGGCTGCCAGCAGGAGAGCACTGCATGGAGCAAATTGGCCCAGCTTCCAGGCCGCCTCCTGTGCCCAGCTGATGAAACATCACTCAGCACTGCACCTCTATACCTGGAAGGAGGTCACAACCCTCTGAGTCCCCTCCCAGGAAAATTGCGTGTCATTGAAGGTCACCTGTTAAAAAGTTACTGCACGTAAAATGCAGTGATTTTTACGCTTGCTCAAAAATTACAAGCTTTTGCTGGTTTATTTTATTTTTGGTTACTTTAGGTTTGTTTTTTTTAATAGAAAGATATTTGTTAAGTCTAAAGAGTTCTGACCTCTTCCAGCTTACACATCCCTGCGGTCAGCTCACTGCTCAGTCCCACAGCGGCCCCGCCTCTGGACAGCAGCATCTCACACGGGTGCTGAGGAGAGTACAGGGAACCCCCTTAGGAATGGGATATGCACCTGCAGTGGCAAAGTGGCCCCAGCTCCCCAGTTCACGTTCAGTCTTCATCTTCACGTAGCCAAGAGGTTACAGTTAGCATGGTGGATTTCTTCAAGAGCGACCCCACTGCACATCCTGCCTCCTCCTCATGTCTGAGCTAGGCATTTATTTTCCAAATAAATGTGCTTTTTTGTGTTTTATGTTCTCACACCTAGATTACTAGTTTGTCTTTAGATTTTCATGCTCACTTATCTATCTACATTTTTCTTCTGGTAATCATTTTTATAAAGATATTCTAATGAATTTTTATTGAAGTTTTATTAGTTTAGCTACTCCATTTAAAGAGACTACATAAAGTTAAACTTTTCAGATTTTGATTCTGCTGCCTTTTCCAGTGTGCTTGTTCATGTAATGTAACTGAACCATCAGATTAAAACAATGTTAAATGTGCTTTTCTCTGCAGAGTATTCGACCCACACCACAAAATGATGCTATAACAGTGTACTTTAAACCAATTACCTTAAAAGCTTCAGAAAGTAAATATACTAAGGTTGCAAGTATTAGTTTTGATGGTAAGTATTCAGCTTTTTCTAACAGAGTGATCTTATTTTGATAAACTAGTAGGCATCTATGTCAACATTTTAATATAGAAATCCAGACCATATTACAGTCAGATTTTATATTACTGCTTAGGTTGGTTTTCTTGTAAACCATCACCAACTCTATTTGATTTTTTCATAAAAGAAAATATAATGTTATAAACCTAAATTAGTATTGGCAAATATATTAGAATTGGAATTAAATTTTTGTAATATGTGCTCTTCCACATATATTCCAATTGTACTTTGCTTAAGTCATTAATTTTTGTAATTAGCTGATAATATATTTGAATTTCAGAAGCATGTTTGAATTTGAGAGCAGAAATAACATTTTCATATGTTGACTTTTATAAGCTATTCAGACAGTCCTGCGTAAGCTAAAATAATAGCCTTTATGATAGAATTATCAAATTAGATCATTATTATACTGTATCTTTTGACATTTGGAATGTTAACCCAGACCTTAACATATTTTAATAGCATGTTTTTATTCATTTTTGCTCCCTTTACTAGAATACGTATTGAATTTGCAGTCACAAAATTTTTCTGATAGTGATTTAACAGCTGCTTGACTATATGTGTAATTAAATTTAATGAGAGTGAAACTTCAAATGGGACTTTTGTCTTCAGCCCGTGCAAGGGAGGAGCCCGGAAGCTTAGCCTTAGGCTTGATGGTAGAGCCGCCTCTGCTCACGGTCCCCATTTCCCAGCTGGTCAGCAGCACATGAGAGTATTTGATCACCGAGTGTCCCGCTGCCCAGCTCTGGGAGAACAGAGTGTCCGCACTTGTGGCTCGCACATGAGGGTTCTCAGGCAGTCCAGGCCCAGCTCAGTCCTCAGTCCATGAGTTCAGAGAACACTCCCGAGGAAATCAAGGAGAACTATGTGGCATACTGTCATAATCCGGCTGTCAAGAAGTAGTAGTATAGAGATTTTGGTGCCGCAGTTATTTCCAAGTCTGTGATTAAATTGTCTTCTGTGTTGCTAAGATACTGCAGCCATGACCACCAGTGTCAGCATCAGCAGGCAATTTCTCTTCTCTTACCAAGAAAAGAGAGCAGCCAGTGGTGACTCCTGACCCTGAGAAGGCCTAGGACCCCCAGTGGGGGCCCACAGGGCATGGTGTGCTGTCCCAGCCTCGCATGCCCTCCCCTCCAGCTCTTGAGCTGACGCCAGCAAATGTTTCCATTCTTGAGATAAATAGATGTCAGGAACGCTGGCTCTTCTGAGATCACAGACTCTAAAATAAGTTCTTCTTAAGGAAGCTCTATAAAATTAAATACAAAGACAAGGGGAAGCATCTTTTAAAACAGGGCTACATTTCTTAAACTCGTTATATTATCATGGGAGAATCCCTGCACCTCTCACCTTATAACTCTGCTTGATGGGTATTTACAGAAAGAGTTTGGACATACAAGGAATGTTATTTCTCAGTGCAGCTATAAACCAGCAGATCTCAGTGAGGGGCACTTTTCCTCCGGGGGACATTTGGCAGTGTCTGCAGACATTTTTTATTGTCACAGCTGGGGATGCCACTGATACCTAGCAAGTAGAGGCCTGGGATGCAGCTCAACACCCTGCAGTGCACAGGCAACCACCCCATCCCCCACAGCAAAGTATTACTCTGGTCCAAATGGCATTCATATGGAGGTTGAGAAACCTTGCTATCAGCAAAGCCTAAGCTTAGAGAAGTAGCTCAAATACAGTGTTTTTCATCTTGAATTGTGGTTACTTGCTAATTCCATGTTTATCCCATTACATGAAAATCAAAACATTTTTCCTTTTTTGTATGATACTTGATATTTGATTTTAAATGTTATAAAGGTATTCTCTTTGTCAATTTGAAATCTCAGCTTGCTTTTTAAGATTTTGTTAGTCCACATAGCCACTCTCTTTGGCAGCAAAAGACGACAGAGATTTTGTGTGTGTGTGTTCTTCCTTTCAGCATCAAAGGCAAAAAAACCATCTCAGTTTTCTGGGAAAATCACTGTTAAAGCAAAGGAAAAAAGTTATTCTAAACTTGAAATACCATATCAAGTAGAAGTGTTGGATGGGTGAGTTTCTCTTTAAAGTCGGCTTTGTAACTTTTTACTAGTTAATAAATTCTGTTTTCCTGCTAACTGCCTTTAGCAAAAGTAGTAGCCAAATTCACAGAAACTCCATGAAATTATTGTTGAAAAGAACAACTTCAACTGTATAAAGGAGAAAAATCTCCATTTTATTTTTTACTTTCTTAGAAGAAAAAGGTAAATGAGATAATATAATTTGGGCTTACATGAAATCTTACTGATTTGATAATATGATAGAAAAACAGATCTGATTCTAAAATAATATTTAAATCATTTGAACCATTTCCTTTTTATAATTCCTTTTGTAACATGGAAGTGGTCGTGGCTTATTATTAAAGTATATTGTCACTTGAAATAAAATCATTTATATTCCTTTATAAACTCATACACCGTTCTAGAATTATAAGTTTTTATAAATGGACACTAATAGATGTAGTTTATTTTCTAATTATACTGTAACTAATAATAGTTAAATATCTAAGTTAATAAGGACTTATTTTAACAAAGCTGATTGCAACTGAATAAACATGATTCTTTTTAAAGTAGCTTGAAACTTTTTCTGTTATTCTTCATTTTAATTTTTTATTGCATATAATTCAGTAGGGAATAATTCTTTATACTACATTTCAATATATTGCAAGTTAATTTTATTTTTAATCATGTGGTCAATCACTAAAATATTTATAGTTCTAATTCTCTAATAACAGTCCTTAATGCTAAACATAAGTTATAACAACAAAAGAACTTGGATTTTAAATTAATACATGGAAATAAAAATGATTGATTTTGTTTATATTTTTGTATTTTCAAATAGTTACTTGGGATTCGATCACGCTGCAACATTGTTTCACATCCGAGACAGTCCTGCCGACCCTGTGGAAAGGCGGGTTCACCTTACTAACACCTTTAGTTTTGCCGTCCTCATTCATGATGTGTTGCTACCAGAGGAAGCCAAAATAATGTTTAAAGTAAGTCTGGAACCCTCCTACTTTCAGCTTTACTGATCTAACCACGGAGATGATGCTGACACATTGTTTTCTCTCCCTAGGTTCACAACTTCAGCAAACCAGTCTTAATTCTTCCAAATGAATCAGGATACATTTTTACCCTGTTTTTTATGCCATCCACATCATCTGTGCACATAGATAACAACATTTTGCTTATTACCAATGCTTCTAAATTTCATTTGCCTGTGCGGGTGTATACAGGCTTTTTAGATGTAAGTATGTTATCTACCTTTAAAATGTAAACCCCTCCTCATCTTCTGTGTTTTCAGGTATTTTTAGGCAGTGGTCCAGGTACCCTTGCACTTTGCCATTTTCTGTGCCTTTTAAGTAGATCTGATTCCTCCCCAGTCAGTACTTCCAGGTATTTGGGTTCACCCTTCCCAGCAGCCACCTCCCCTCGTGATGGAGCTGAACCTTCTAGTTACATTCTCTACTTACACTTCTCCACATTCTGCTCGCTCTTAATTTTGCTTTCAATATGTAATGTTCATGGGGAAGCTAAAAAATGAACAAAATGGGGGGAAAAATAATAAGCAGGAAAAAAACAATACAAGGAGAGTGTGGAGGGAACTGTGGAGGGAAGAGACGTCCAAAACTAGAACATATCAAGGTGAAGGGAAGAACCAGGTAATAAGGCAGAAGGAAGGCAGTAAAGGTACACAGTTGGAACTGTGACTGGTACATGGTATCGAAGGGAAGAAGAAAGGTCTTTCTAGTACAGAAAATAAGCCAGAAAAACCATCCAGAATATTCTTAGTGTATCAGTGAAAGAAGTGTAGATCCCTAGGAAGTGAGACTGATAGGAAAGTTACAAAAGATAAAACGAAAGCAAAAACACAGAAATGTAGTTCTCCAGAACTGTAGGGCTGTCCCATCTTCAGTATTACCCAATACTCTTCATTGGATTTGCTTAAGCCTGTTTGTAGCTGCTTTCATGAATGCATGATGCAGACCAAGACCAAGGACTTTTGCCTAATCTGTTAGGCTCCCTTCTCTTACCCCTCCTAGGATTTCAATTTCCTGCTGTTTGTCTGTGCCCTCAGAGGAGAAAGCTGTTCAGTAGAGGCCATGAGAGTTTTCATTTTGATGACTCAAAATATTTTCATTGTACAAAGTTCTTAATTACGTTTTGTATATGTGTATATTTACACAAATACAGAAACGTTGGTATACCTTACTATAGTCACTTTCTCCTGATAACATTCTCTTACGTAAGTGTGATTTCGCATTTAATCTAGTTCTTTTGTATTTTTCCAGTATTTTGTATTACCCCCCAAAATTGAGGAGCGTTTCATAGATTTTGGTGTACTGAGTGCAACAGAAACAAGTAATATTTTATTTGCAATTATAAACAGCAATCCAATTGAGGTAAAAAAAAATGCATTTTTTTTTATTCTAAATCACGTTTAAGGAATTTATACTATAATATAAATAACCACTGATACTTTTCTCTTTTTTAAGTTGGCTATAAAAAGTTGGCATATCATAGGAGATGGTTTATCAATAGAACTCGTAGCTACTGAAAGAGGCAATAGGACTACAATAATTTCAAGCCTTCCAGAGTTAGAAAAATCCTCTTCATCAGACCAGTCATCAGTAAGTAGACTTTCTTATTGTTCCCTTCAACTTTAGATGTGTGTCTAAACCACATACGTCAGCTCAGTGTTTGTGGGCTCCATAACAGCACTGGTTATTTGGTGTTGGACAGACCTCATAAGTCATATGTTTTAACCATCCATCCCCCCACCCTGCCCCTGTTATGAGGCACTTGACACCCAAAAGAGTTAAGTTCTGCCTTGTCATAAAAAGTTCTAGATCAAGCAAAATTTACGTTACCCTTTTGTAACACAGGTGTCATTACAGGAGAAATTCCCAGAAGTTCTACACTAACCCTGTGCTCGTTGAATTCTCTAGGCCAAAGAGAGAGCCCTGCACATCGGTAGAAAGTGCTTTTAATTATACACCAATATTTCTGGCCAGTTTTCTGATATTCCCTGATTAGAAGGGAATATCAGTGAGGCAAACATTGTTTGTTGATCCCTGCCAATGTCCTTTTTTGTCTTATAAGTGTAGACAGCTGGGTGTGTAAGAAGACGAAGCAAGGGAAAGTGAATGTAGTGTCAGTCTAATCCCTCAGCACTGTCGAGAAGGGAGCTTGGAGTTTACACCTACCCGGAGCAGAACTAGAATCCCCTGGCACGAGAGGGAACTGACAGGCCTCATCTGTAGCTTAAGCTAGAACTTCTCTGCCGACCCTGTGGAAAGGCGGGTTCACCTTACTAACACCTTTAGTTTTGCCGTCCTCATTCATGATGTGTTGCTACCAGAGGAAGCCAAAATAATGTTTAAAGTAAGTCTGGAACCCTCCTACTTTCAGCTTTACTGATCTAACCACGGAGATGATGCTGACACATTGTTTTCTCTCCCTAGGTTCACAACTTCAGCAAACCAGTCTTAATTCTTCCAAATGAATCAGGATACATTTTTACCCTGTTTTTTATGCCATCCACATCATCTGTGCACATAGATAACAACATTTTGCTTATTACCAATGCTTCTAAATTTCATTTGCCTGTGCGGGTGTATACAGGCTTTTTAGATGTAAGTATGTTATCTACCTTTAAAATGTAAACCCCTCCTCATCTTCTGTGTTTTCAGATATTTTTAGGCAGTGGTCCAGGTACCCTTGCACTTTGCCATTTTCTGTGCCTTTTAAGTAGATCTGATTCCTCCCCAGTCAGTACTTCCAGGTATTTGGGTTCACCCTTCCCAGCAGCCACCTCCCCTCGTGATGGAGCTGAACCTTCTAGTTACATTCTCTACTTACACTTCTCCACATTCTGCTCGCTCTTAATTTTGCTTTCAATATGTAATGTTCATGGGGAAGCTAAAAAATGAACAAAATGGGGGGAAAAATAATAAGCAGGAAAAAAACAATACAAGGAGAGTGTGGAGGGAACTGTGGAGGGAAGAGACGTCCAAAACTAGAACATATCAAGGTGAAGGGAAGAACCAGGTAATAAGGCAGAAGGAAGGCAGTAAAGGTACACAGTTGGAACTGTGACTGGTACATGGTATCGAAGGGAAGAAGAAAGGTCTTTCTAGTACAGAAAATAAGCCAGAAAAACCATCCAGAATATTCTTAGTGTAATCAGTGAAAGAAGTGTAGATCCCTAGGAAGTGAGACTGATAGGAAAGTTACAAAAGATAAAACGAAAGCAAAAACACAGAAATGTAGTTCTCCAGAACTGTAGGGCTGTCCCATCTTCAGTATTACCCAATACTCTTCATTGGATTTGCTTAAGCCTGTTTGTAGCTGCTTTCATGAATGCATGATGCAGACCAAGACCAAGGACTTTTGCCTAATCTGTTAGGCTCCCTTCTCTTACCCCTCCTAGGATTTCAATTTCCTGCTGTTTGTCTGTGCCCTCAGAGGAGAAAGCTGTTCAGTAGAGGCCATGAGAGTTTTCATTTTGATGACTCAAAATATTTTCATTGTACAAAGTTCTTAATTACGTTTTGTATATGTGTATATTTACACAAATACAGAAACGTTGGTATACCTTACTATAGTCACTTTCTCCTGATAACATTCTCTTACGTAAGTGTGATTTCGCATTTAATCTAGTTCTTTTGTATTTTTCCAGTATTTTGTATTACCCCCCAAAATTGAGGAGCGTTTCATAGATTTTGGTGTACTGAGTGCAACAGAAACAAGTAATATTTTATTTGCAATTATAAACAGCAATCCAATTGAGGTAAAAAAAAATGCATTTTTTTTTATTCTAAATCACGTTTAAGGAATTTATACTATAATATAAATAACCACTGATACTTTTCTCTTTTTTAAGTTGGCTATAAAAAGTTGGCATATCATAGGAGATGGTTTATCAATAGAACTCGTAGCTACTGAAAGAGGCAATAGGACTACAATAATTTCAAGCCTTCCAGAGTTAGAAAAATCCTCTTCATCAGACCAGTCATCAGTAAGTAGACTTTCTTATTGTTCCCTTCAACTTTAGATGTGTGTCTAAACCACATACGTCAGCTCAGTGTTTGTGGGCTCCATAACAGCACTGGTTATTTGGTGTTGGACAGACCTCATAAGTCATATGTTTTAACCATCCATCCCCCCACCCTGCCCCTGTTATGAGGCACTTGACACCCAAAAGAGTTAAGTTCTGCCTTGTCATAAAAAGTTCTAGATCAAGCAAAATTTACGTTACCCTTTTGTAACACAGGTGTCATTACAGGAGAAATTCCCAGAAGTTCTACACTAACCCTGTGCTCGTTGAATTCTCTAGGCCAAAGAGAGAGCCCTGCACATCGGTAGAAAGTGCTTTTAATTATACACCAATATTTCTGGCCAGTTTTCTGATATTCCCTGATTAGAAGGGAATATCAGTGAGGCAAACATTGTTTGTTGATCCCTGCCAATGTCCTTTTTTGTCTTATAAGTGTAGACAGCTGGGTGTGTAAGAAGACGAAGCAAGGGAAAGTGAATGTAGTGTCAGTCTAATCCCTCAGCACTGTCGAGAAGGGAGCTTGGAGTTTACACCTACCCGGAGCAGAACTAGAATCCCCTGGCACGAGAGGGAACTGACAGGCCTCATCTGTAGCTTAAGCTAGAACTTCTAGCAGCCATTTTACAAAAGGAACTGCAGATATCCTAATGCGCAGAGACTGATGTCAGAAACACCTCCACAGATCCGTTTGCACTGGGAGGGCCCCAAAGCAGTGTTTTTGGAGGGCCACTTAGCAATATATACCATTCCTCTGAATTCTTTCTGTGGAAGCAAAGTAATTTAAAGAACCAAAGCTGTGAAAATAAAGATGTTTGTAGAAATGTCATTAATGACTCCAAACAAGAGAAAACATCCAAATGCATAAAGGCAGTCACGATTTTATGATTACTTATTGGAGCAGATAGAAAATTGTAAATATGATTGTATGTATAAACTTGGAAAAGAACTTATGAAGAAGTAGGAAACAATACTAAGTAATGTATTCTAATTGCAACTGTGTAGCATTCAAGCTGCATAATCGGGTATTCATGAATAGTAGTAGATTTATGGGTGTTCATATTTTAATAATTTAATGATTTAAATTTGACTCAGGAATAAAGCCTTTTAAAACAAAACAGGATATGCTCATAAGAGGTAATATTTGTCACTCCAGCTGAAATTTTATTTTTAATACAGATAAAATGCCAAATAAAGATAATAATGAGGCCAGCCATTAATGTGTTTCTTTAAACTGAAGTTAAGAGTAAAATACAGTATGTGTGTCTCATCCCAGATGGCTGAATTACACTGTTGCCTAATAAGACATTATAAATTAATAATAGGATTAGGGTAGCAGTGGGTGGCATGTGGTAATACACACACTCTTTAAATTTGAGAGGTTTATTTAACAACATAAAGCCTCTTTGGCAATTTAGGGTTTTAGAGTTCATTTTTACATAAAACTAAATGTTAAAATGAGGGACAGAATGATGAGGTCACTGTTACGAACCCTCACTTAAAATAGGAAATTGTAGTGAGTTGCCAACTTCAAAATAACAGTTCTACAAAATGAATTTTAAATTTGAAATGCCTGAACTTTCTACTGTTATATAACCATTTTCTAAAAAGCCAAACCCACGAACTAAGTCATGTACATAGGCCAGTAGCAGCTCTGTGCCCCTCAGACCTGGGGCCTGGCTTGGGCAGTTATAGAATCATGGTGAAAACTTTATAATTGCACAAAACTAACACAGAAATGCATCTGAAAAGAGGAAAGTATCAACATCCGTTATTTTGCTGTAAATGTGATTTCTAGATAAATTATTGCTGATATCTAAAGTACAGCTTCACAAAATGAATTTCATGTTTTCTGGAAATTTCATGACTGAATAGAGTAAGTGCCAGAAACATCAACAGACAGCTCGAGAAAACAAATAAGGTCCCCATTCTTTCAAACATGTTGTCCATAGCTCTTCCTTTCCATGCTTTTTGATGTTTTCATATGACGCATGACAGTTAAAATCAGAACTTGAAGCAGAACCAGCCTTGCATGTGCTTATGCCCTAATGTGGCTGAAGGGTTGGTGAAGGGCTGTGTCCCTCTGCTCCATCCCTCACCCTCTTCGTCCATGCAGGTACATAGTCGTGCCCAAGGACCATTCCCTGCCCCACCTTGGCAGCTTGCATCAGACTGTTCCTCAAGGAGCCAGTTTTTCAGTGGCCTATGGATAAGTGCAGTAGCTCAACAGCCTGGAATGGGCGTTCTTTTGAGATACTGGTGCAGGGTGGCATGGTGACTCAGTGTCATCCCAGTGCGCATTAGGGTTCAGAAGTCAGGGCACCACTACAGGCTTATTTTCCATTTCTATAAAAGCTTCAGCTAGCAGTACTAATGAATGATGTCATTTCTGCTACATATAGGTGGTATTAGCTTCAGGCTATTTTGCTGTGTTCAGAGTCAAACTTACTGCAAAAAAACTGGAAGGGGTTCATGATGGAGCCATACAGATCACAACAGACTATGAGGTAAGGGCTTCGTGGGGACCCATGTCAATGGGGTTTTTCTGAAAAATTCAATTCTTTTTCATTTTTTTGTAGAAACAGAACTAAGTTTACTCAAGAAGTTACAGTGTACCTGTTTTATACCTTAACTGAGTTTTCGAGAATAGTTTACAGAATATTGGTGTTCATTAACTCATAGTTTTCTGATGAAACCCAAACCTCTTAACTAAAAATACATTTAGAATTGCTCTGCTAGAAACCTGCTTACCAACGGTTGTAGGATCACACAGACCCAGGCTGAAATTCCTGAGTCAGATCTCTGATTCTTTCTGCAATCCTAAATACCCTTCTGTGTAACATTTCTGGAAAGGAAGTTACAATCAGGAAGGCACATCCTAATTTGATTTCTCCCGAGTGTATTTATGTGCTTCGTTCTAAGTCAAGGGACACAACGAAGATCACTGAGCTCTTTAAGGGCTCTGTGGAGTGTTGCAGGCACTGAAATGATAAATGGATATATGTTTGCCACACCTGAAGATTTTAGTTTAATGTTTAAAAGCTCCTTGGGAAGTTATGCACTGCTAAATTCAGCAGGTTGCTACCCTTGTTCTCCTACTCATTTGCAGCACATACAACCCCCACATGAAAGAAAATTAATTCAGAATAAACAGAATTGGTTAATTATTAATAAATGATTTATTGGGAATCTGTCAAATTAATTACCTCCAAAAGTAAGGAATTCATGTTTATTACTCATGATAGAAATAAGTGTATTTCATAGCTAAGACAAGTTTTTCATATGGATGAAAATAAGAATTAGAAAAAAATATCTTAGAGAAATATCTTTGCAAGTTACAAATGAGTGAGTTAAGATTCAAAATCTAGAATGTTCAACTCGTTTTTTAAATTAGGTTGGTATTAATTCATTGCTTACAAAACAGAGAGCTATATAACTCTAGAAAAGCTGGATTTTTCATATATCATTTTAGGAGTACAATTTGACTTTCCTTTTTAAATAATCTACTAAATGACCCATATTATGAAAAAAAATCTATCCCTTATTCCTTCCCCATTATTTGGTCTTGTTTACTATGTTTTCATTGAATCACTGAGAAATACATGAAAATGTATTTTGGTGCATTTTATGAAGTATATTAGACAGATTAAACATATCCTTGAGTGATTTTACTATTGCTTTGGAGTTGGTTATTGCTAATGTAAGTCCCAAGGTGAGTTTTTTCAGTCCCCAAAAATAATGCAATAACAGCCACAATCAATCTTAGACTTAAAACACTTATGCTTTATGGTCTATCTCTTCACCCCACAGATCCTGACGATTCCTGTGAAGGCTGTAATTGCAGTGGGGTCGCTGACTTGCTTCCCAAAGCATATGATCCTTCCTCCGTCCTTTCCAGTAAGACAGTTCTTTTATAGACTTTTGCTTGCTAATTTTTTTCCTTGCCTTTACTTTTGCATTCCTCGAATCCAACAGAAAAGTCAGTTATTCTTTATTAATCACTTTAAGGTAAGACACTGTACCAGGTTCTTTAGGAGACAGAAGAATAAGAAATGGTCCTTCCTCTCAAAAAGCTTCTATCCGGAATGGGATATGAGCCCATGATTCAGAAATGTAAAGCAGGATATAAAAATTGCCCAAATCGGTGAAAAACTAAAGTGCTGTGAGGGAAACACACATCCAGTTGATGAAAGTGCCCTGGGAGCTGGCCTGGAATGTTTCCTGGGTGGTGAGAACTTGCACTCAGGGCCCAGGGGACAACCTGAGTGGAGACACAGAGCAGTGAAGTCTGGGTGGCTATGGGCGGTAGCGAGTTGCCCAATTTGGCAAGAGTGGAGGGAAGTTGCAGGAAAGAAGATGGAATGGTCTGTTGGATTGATAGTATAAAAAAACATTAAATGCATTTAAATCCAAGAAAATGTAAAGTTTTTGAGTAGAGAATTGACATCATCAGAACTGAGCTTTAATAGTTGGATCTTTAGCAGCAATAAGTACAGGATGCAGTCGGAAGTAAGAACAGGGTGCCTGGAGGCCCGGAGACTCTGGTCGGAGTCCACATGTAGTACGGAGGGGAGGTTTGAGCTTAGGGTGTTGGCAGACAGCAAATCCCTTCCATACCTGCTGGCCTTTGCTGTTAGTCTGCCTTGAGTGCCCTCCCTCCTCACCTCCCTTTGGGGAATTGCTGCAAATCTTTCAAAATTCACTTCCCTCATCATCTCTGAAGACATCTCGACTCCACTGGACATCACTGCTTGTTTCATGGGTGATCTTAGAATGATTTGAAATGGCCACTTGCAGCAAGCCTCACATTGTGCCATAAATATTGCCATGTGTGTTGGTCTCCCCAGAGAGACTGTGAGATCCACTAGCAAAGAAATAGAGGAGTCTTTTGTCCCTGACAGCAGGCACATAGTAGAGGATGGATGGATGGATGAATGAATGAGCAGAAGACAGGGAAGAACACATAGGCAAGAAGTGTTTCAGATGAATCATTAGAACTGTGTTTAAATATCCTGAGAGTCGTTCTGATTGAAGCAGGTGAGGGTAGGCGGGTGGAGAGAGGAACAAAAACCATGACTTAGAGTTTGAGCCTGGAGAACAAGGAAGAAAAGAAACATGGAAACCAGGAAATGGCCTCTGCCTTTTGCAAGAAGATGGTATGGTCAATTCAAGGCACATTGGGGCAAATGTGGAAGTGTCTCATCCTGTGGTAGGGGACACAGTGGGTTAAGAGAAATAGTGCATTTAGAATCTTATGTGCTATGTGCAGTAAAACCCAAATTCAAATTTTAGCTACTTAAAAATATAAATTTTCAATTAATAGGTTCAGCACATTTAAGGGTAAGTCTTAATCCAGCCTTTGTCATCTTGTCATTCCACTTTGCGCTGAATATACAGAACTCATGACTGCATTGTTTACCCAGAAAGACCTCACTCCTTCCTTCAATTACCTTTTCAATCAGTGTTCTCCTTAATCACTGCAGAAACTGTGCAGTAAATGAAGCAACATCTGTATCTGAACTACTCCAGATGAAGCTTTCAGGTGTCTTACAGGACAAGATATTTGCTTGGAAGTACAAATTAACTTGATATTGCTGTGTTAGTCGGGCTACTGTAACAAAGTGTCATAGACTGGGTGTCTTAAACAACAAATGTTTATTTCTCATGGTCCTGGAGGTTGGGAAGTCCAAGATCAAGGCACTAGCAGATAGTCGTCTGCAGGCCTCCACCTGGTTTTGCAGGCGGCTGTCTTCTCATTGTATCATCGTCACTTAGAAGACCAGAGCGTTGTTCTCACCATGGTTTCCACCCTCCTGACCTACTCACCTCCCAAAGACCCACCTCTTAACACCTTCACCTTGGGGGTGAGGATTTCAACATAGGAATTTGGGGGAGGGGGCGGGGAACACAGACATCCAGTCCATAACAATTACCAAATTCTGTAGTCTTTTATCAGATGGAGAACAAGAGCTAATGGATGAAAACAATCCTTGAGAAGAAACATTTCAAATAACTCACAGTTTAATACTTCATATTTGAATACCATTGTATAACTTTTCTATTACCTCCTTTGATCCCCACCATACCCCCTATAAGACAAGACATGGACACAAGAGAAGTCATTATAACAGGTGCATGAAGACACAGCCGTGCAACTTGGCACAGGCCTTCTGCCTCCTGCTCTCATGGTCTCTCCATCTCAGCCGCTGCCTGCCCCTAATGTCTTCCTACTGCAGTTCACTCGGGCTGGACTGGAAATGATGAGTGTTAGTCTCGACCTCACCATCACTGAACTCTTGTTCCTGTGCATTCTCTTAACTTCTTATCTTTTAATACCAGTGGGTGTGATCAGATTATAAGACGCAAAATTCTTTATTCAAACAAAAGAAAGTAAAAGATTGTAACAATTCTTACTAAGAGTTATTTTAAAATCATGTAACTTTTTACTTAAAATCTGCTTTCCTATCATAGGGAGAAGCATGCTGCTAATAAAAGCAGTCATTGATTGTTTAATGATTTAATCTGTATGATGTTTTAATAAGATACTTGATAACCTATATTTTTAAAAGATGTGTTGGTTTGGCACAAGTGATATTTTTATTTTTTAAAGAAAATACTTCTCAGGAAAATAAATCTGATTTTTTTCAATTCAGTTATCCTGAATTTAGATACTTTTAGGGCCCCCTGCCCTGGTATAAACAGGCCTTGCTTAACAAAATGACAGTAAACACTTATTCAGTGCTATCTCTGTACCTTTGTTGGCATCCTCAATATTTCAACATGAAATGTGAACATTTTTACTTTAGTTCATTTTCACAAATTACAGAGGTTTGTCCTGTTAATTTTTCTGTAACAGGCCATAAAAATGATAACAACTGCAAAGTTGGGGAGCTCTGATTGCAAAGTTAGGGGTTCTCAGCCAATGGAAGTTCTAAATGTCCTTTGAGCTTTGGTTTCCCGGAAACATGTCTGTCAACTCTTAAGTGTCTGTTCGTAAGGAAATCCAACCAGGTGCAAGTAAATTTGTTGTTTGTTTGTTTGTTTTCCTCCTTCAGGGGAAAATAGTCCATCACAGTTTAAATATCATGAACTCCTTCTCACAGAAGGTAAAGATACAGCAAATACGATCTTTGTCAGAAGATGTGCGGTTTTACTACAAACGCTTACGGGGCAATAAGGAAGACTTGGAGCCAGGGAAGAAATCAAAGGTTTGAAACATTCCATTTGCAAACTGCCCTCCGTGAGTACCTCATTGTGGCCTTCCATGGACTTGAAGTCACGGTTCTTCTGTGCCTCTTTGTAGATTGCAAACATTTATTTCGATCCGGGACTGCAGTGTGGGGATCATTGCTATGTTGGCTTGCCTTTTCTGTCCAAATGTAAGTTACCTTGTTGTTCTTTCTCATGCCCTTCACGCCCCTCAAAATATTCCTTAATGAACGGCTGCCACTTTCTGAAGTCTATCCCTGTCTCTTGGGCTCTAGAAATCATTTGAAAGAAATTTGGCAAGTGGATATGACATGGGGCTGGGTGTGTCATAACTTATGTCCTCTGCTTTAGCTGAAGCCAAGGTGCAGCCCGGGGCAGCCATGCAGGAGGAAATGTGGGACGCCGACTGGAGTCTGCACCAAAGCCTGTTCAAAGGCTGGATGGAGATAAAGGACAACTCAGGTCATAGGTGAGAGCTTCTGCTTTTAATATTTTAGCTCCCTTTACAAGTTTGAAACATTTCTGTTGAAGTTACTTCCTAAATGTTATTATGTTTAGAGAGGTTACTTCTCTATAGCTAAGAAAATATGCCTAATCTTCAGAAAATTAAGGGGGCGGCTTGAATGCCATTTTAATGGTATGTTGCTCAGAAATGTGCACAGTATCGTTTTCCCCTTTTCTCCATCACTCTAGATACTTAAAATCAAAGAAACTGTGTGAAGTTGTGTTTGTGTAGGATAATAACAGTGTCCACCTTGGGCACAGCTATTTGCTACCACTGACCTCCGCAAAGGCCAGGAAAACATGGCCGTTCGGTCCCCACAGGAGACCAAGCAAGTGTTTGCTAGAGGTGAGAGGGGCCCTCCTCCCTCCAAGTGCTGAGTGAGGGGTCAGGGCCCAGTTCACATGGACTCTGCCTGCTAACAACAGACCTCTGCTGCCGCTGGGTTCAAACACAGACAGTATAGAAATCTGATCTTTTCGTGTACTTCAGAAGAGAATTCAACTAGCACGCAGAGAATGTGACAGCTGAGGAAAACCACTCCTCTCAGTTGGCTAATCTGAAGTGAATTTGTCAGTATCATCAAGATACTGCAGCTTGTACTACTATAAAATTTTCAAACCATTAACAGTTAAACCAAAGAGTTGCTGTTTTTCTGAACTATCTCCTGTGAAAAGTTTTCTTAAGACAAAGGAAGTTAAATTTCTTCTCTAAAATGGTTAAAATAAGTACATGAGACTTTCTGCAGCAAACTCACTGGGAGAACACTAAAGCATTTCCATAGTGGACATTATGGATAGGCCAGCTCCAAACGTTAACATCCAGTTATGAATAAGTGGCTTGTGACGCTGCACAAGGCTCAGCAGCTAAGGAACCTCTTCAACTCCCACCCAGCGAAGCCCCCACCTACCTCTCTGTGCCCAGCATCCCTTTCTGCGCCTCCAGGTCCCAGTTGCACAGTGGATGGAGCATTCTCCCCGCGTCACTGAGTCAGTGTGCGTGTGACAGAGAGTTCCTGTTACTTGTCTTATAGAACAGCTTGCACTCTTACCATCATCAGAATATCACAGTCCAGTCGTGTTGTGGGTTAGAACAGGCCTCCGTGTCCAGGCTTGTCTGGGCCCACAGCCTTA